AGTCAATGAAGCAGAAGTAGATATTTTTCTGGAACTCTCTGGCTTTCTCCATAATCCAGCGCATGTTAGCAATTTGGTCTCTAGTTTCTCTGCCCCTTCGAAATCTAGCTTGTACTTCTGGGAGTTCTCAGTCCACATACTGCTGAAGCTTACCTTGTAGGATTTGGAGCATAACCTTGCTAGCATGTGAAATGAGTGCAATTGTGCGGTAGTTGGAGCATTCTTTGGCACTGCCCTTCTTTGGGATTGGGATGTAGACTGATCTTTTCCAGTCCTCTGGCCATTGTTGAGTTTTCCAAACTTGCTGGCATATTGAATGTAGCACCTTAACAGCGTCATCTTTTAAGATTTTAAATAGTTCAACTGGAATGCCATCACCTCCACTGGCCTTGTTGTTAGCCAAGCTTTTTAAGGCCCACTTGACTTCACTCTCCAGGATGTCTGGCTCAAGGTCAGCAACTACATTATCTGGGTTGTCCAGGATATCAAAATCTTTCTGGTATAATTCCTCTGTGTATTCTTGCAACCTCTTCTTGATGTCTTCTGCTTACAGCAAAATCATGAAAAACAACATATAAACAATTAAAACGACAATTACAATCAATAATATTAGTGGCTCTCAAGATGGAAAAACAAAATGGGAGTTAGGATAGAAAAGAAAATCAAGTAATGACCAGAGGGAAGGCCTACCTAAAGAGTCAGGTCTTACGTTGTCTCTTAAAACACCCAGCGAAGGTGTTTTTAAACTGCACATTCCAAAGAAAGTCCATGCATCCTTATGCATATAAAGTACATGTCATGTCACTGAGCTATAGGCTTTCCCTTAATTTTCATGATGAAAATCCATATTTAGAGACTGATTGAAATACTTACGATAGGTTCTCAAAAACTAGCTATATGGTTTTGCTTATCCTGGCTTTTGAGAACAAATCAAGCCCAAACTGGTGAATGTTTCTTGGTCTCTAGTTACAGATTGATGAAATGTGTGCTTTAATTATGACTTCTATCATATACTCAGGTGACAGCGCTTGGCACAAGAATCCTGGATGTGAAAGTGAACATACATATGCGGAAATAAAACCAGATGATTATTGGCAGCAAAGTAAAACCTAAAGGGGGAAAGCATCCCTTTTATTGCATGCCAGATGACTACAAAATCTCAGTCGGAAGATACAAGCAAATTGAATTTGCAAGCTTTGATTCCTCCTAGTCCCCCTTTTTTTGCCTTCAAAGGAAGGACTCCTGCCCTTGCTTGTCTCTTTTAGCATTTTTGTCTTTGCATAAAACATTGGCCTGTACATCTCTATATTCCTTTGCTTTCTTATATACCAACACATTAGGCTCTGGAGACATTGTGGTCATCTGATTTAAGACCTACAACATAGCTGTCATAAGTTTGTATCATATCCAATCATGGTCTTACATAAGATGCTCAGTCATTGGACATCCTATGCATCATGCAAAATAAGATAACTTCACTGGCTTGCTGAAACAGTGCAGCAATACCAAGGATATAAGGTGTAGTGGATAGAGCGATGAACTAGGACTCGGGAGCCTTGTTTTTGAATCCCACTAAATCTCACTGGGGGTGTAGAATGGGTAAAATCACTCCTTAAATGACTCACTTACCTTGAAAGCCTTATGGTGCTATTTGATATTTCCAACTTGATGGCACATAACAATAACAAGATGAACAGCTTGAGCTTGCTGATGTTCTTGGGTTTGCACCTTGAACCACATGCCTCCTTGGAGTGAGAGTGATTTTTTTCTTTGTCTCACATGTAAATTTGTATATATTCTTGTGTACATTTTCTGAATTTTCAGATCTTTCAATATTTATAGATTTCTCCTATTGTTTAAAGTGCCAGACTATCTGTGTTTGGCCAGAGAGTGAAAGAAATCACGAGTTGTTCTACCTGACTTGCAAGGAATAATCTGGGGGACAGGTTCAGGCTGGGCTGCCAAGAGGGGTGGAAATGTTGAGTTTTGTGTGGTTGCACAGCAAAAGGCAAGCTCCCCAAGAATCCCCCTCATCTAAGTAGACAAGCAAAAATAGTCAGTCAGACAATAGTAAAAAGAAGAAACAATATTTATTTTCAAAGTTATGAGTTCAGAAACTTGATATAAAGGCATGGAATCATCAGTGATTAAAAAGAAGAATAATTTAGTGTGCTAAAATCATGGCTGAGCAGGGAACTCTGTATAACGTCTGTTAAAAATGGTACTAACTGGGGGAAAAACTGTCTCAGGGTAAAAACGTTTAGGCTGCTTAGTAGTGGGTAGAAAAGCAAGTGGTTGATTGGTTGCTTAAGAACAAGTGAAGAAACAAGTTCGTTTTCATACATAGCATGCTGGATTGCTACATATTCCAACATAACAGTTCCAGCTTTAGACAATTTCTGGAGTTAAGTTAGAGATAATCCCTCTTCCCTTTGTGTATATCAGGACAAACTTCACAAGGTTTAGGAGTCTTATTTTTCACTCCCAGCACCTGCATTGGGCTATACTATGGGTAGAACTTTTGAAAATATTAGTGAGGGGGGGAATTAAACCCAGAAGTGATCACATTTCCACTGCCAGTGGTAGTAAGAGATTGAGGCACGTCCATTATAGTCAGGGATGCTGAGATCAATGAAACATCACTGAGAGTTGTCAATGCAAATGAAAACATTCATGGGTCTCAGAAATGCAGGCAGGAGAATTTGTGGTCCTCTTGTGTGAAGAAAGTACAGCAGAGCCTTCTACTCATACATGAGGCTTTTTTGGATAACATTAACTGATGCCTTAGGTATGTAGTTCTTATGTTAGTCCATGAAATAGGCTGACACAAATACCTGTAGGATGTAAACAAACAAACATTGCATCTGTACTCTCTGCTCACTCAAACTAGGGGTGTAATACTTAGAAAATACTGACCAGCTCTCCCCCTATCCTTCACTTACAGATTGAGGTCCTGCCGGAAATAATAGAAGCTGTGGAAGGCAAAGTTGAGGTGTTCCTGGATGGTGGAGTCAGAAAAGGCACCGATGTTCTCAAGGCTCTTGCCTTCGGAGCCAGAGCCGTTTTTATTGGGAGGCCTGTAATCTGGGGACTTGCCTATCAGGTAATGTAAAACAGGAGTTCAAACAGCTACTAGGGTGGTTTACTGAAAAGACAAATCTTCACATTCTTTTTTGAGCTAGGGTATTTATTTATTTATACGATTTTTTTACTCTGCCCATCTAGTGGCCAGGCTACTATTTTGGGTGGCTTACAAAAAATCATCCACAACACAATATGTACTGTGGTAGATTTAATATTGTATACTATGCCTACTCCGCTTTCTAAAAGCTCTGCTACATTAAATGGAGGCCATCATTTTGTAAGACAGCTTGCTCTTCACAAATTTCACCCCCTCCTTTCAGCTACTGTACGATGGGTGGTGGTGGTCGAATCATAGCATTTGAAAGTGGCAGTTGACATTTGAAAGGAGACATTCCACAGCATAAATACACAGTGTGATATCTCCCTTTCTTTTAGCATAGTGCTTGCTAAAAGAAGGATCAGTTGTAATGGGTCACATTCAGTATAAAAGGCAGATTTTCACAGAGGGTGAGATTTGCATGAAATCAGGATTCTAGAGTTGGAAGATATACCAAGAGCCATTCAGTCCAATATTCTGCCAGTGCAGGAAGTCTACAAGCCAAGGTATCCTTGAATACCTGTTTACAAAAGATGAACCCCTCCCTTTAGTGGCAACTTCCATGCTGAAGGCTGGTTCTCAAGAAGAACCCATCATTAAGACTAAATCACAACGGCCAGTATCCTCCGGCTTGGTGGAAAGTCCCACCAGGATAATAGCCAGGCATCATGCTACTTCCATAATCGTTGCCAATGTGCATGTGTTGATCGCTGTAAACAAAACCAAATTGAAACTTCTAATAAAACCAAGGAGCATGAAAACAAAATGTGGAAAATAAAATGAGAGCTGAAGAACATGGCATTCTATGGAATTAAAAGCCCACAGATGTCTGTCACGCTGATCTAAAACATAGGAAGAGGATAGGCAATTCCATGTATCTCAAGAAGTTCCTCAATTGGTGTATTTCTGAGAATTCCCTGTCTTCAGTACTTCAGTATCTTTGGATTTTAGTGCCTCTCATTATTGAAAATTATCAATAAGAAAAAGAAGAAGAAGAAGAAGGCAGGCATTTGGATATTCTGACTCCCAACTGTTTTGGTGTTTTAGTTTGGAGCACTTTGATCCTAAATTGTGTCTTTTTTTTGGGGGGGGGAACCCTGGAAGCTAGTGAAGTTATTCCAAGACCAGTATAACATGGTACGGATGGTATTATTGTATTTTTAAAATAATGATAGCACATAGAAGTCTGCTGGAATTACCTAAGCCAGAATTCTGGGGGCTTTAGGTCTCCTCCAAGCCTTCTCAGATTTTTGATATAACTTACAAATGCAACATAAATGAGGAAAAAATCCTTACATTTGAGTTCCAATGAGGGAGGAATGAGCTAGATGGTGCTAAGCTGTATAGCACTGCAAAGCATTATATTCCCTCTGTTCCTTATGCTCCCTACAAGGTGTCTCCAGTGCCCTTAATGCTTTGCACTGTCACAGCGCTTAGCCCCACCCATCTAGTTTCTCCTTCGTTGGGCTGTCTCAGAACTCAGAGCTAGAATATTTTCTCCTTGTTTATGCTGCATTTATAAAATCATTTCAAACACTTGTGAGGCCTTTTTTTTGGTGGTGGTGGGGCTGAAGTCTCCAGAATTTTGGCTGGGGCAATTTCAGCAACCTTCTATATGCTGTAATTCATTCATATATAAAATGACTCATATCTCTATATATAATGAATATATAATAAATCCCCTCCCTATAATGTAGTCTTCACAATGTGCTCTTGACAAAGTGTCTAACCGCCACATTTTGCACTAGCTGTGGTTTCCAAACCTGTTCAAGAACAACTCATGAGCTCATTGTGGAACAGCCAGAACCCCAGTGGGTTTGCCTTCTATGAATCTTGATGTATCCTGAAAGCCACTAGTGCCCACACTGTAAAAGTCATTGAGAAAGGGATGCAACATGATACAATATAGCAAATGGAAACATACTGGGGAGCTTCCCCAAGTCCATCCAGGAGTGGCCCTTTTGAGGCATGGCACCCTACAGACAACTGATTCTCTCTTCCCCGTGGCAGGGGAGTTACCATGACCTGGGCAAACCAAAAAGGTCGTTATACCCTAACATCCCTATGTTGAAAATGACACAGGGAGGAATGGAAGACAATAGCCCTCCAAGGAAGAAGAGAGTGTCACGGATTCTTTCTGTGACCAGATCAGCATGTTACTCACCTTGAAAAGGGGAGCTGCTCTTAGAACAACAAGTTTGTAAATACAGAAGATACACTGCTCCCCTTGGACTTTAATGCTGGACCATGTTATAGTCAATACTGCCCCCCAAAATTATTGGTGACTGGACAAAGATGTTAAGTCCATGTATGTTGTTCATTGATGTCATTTCAAAGCAGGATATTGGGCCAAAAACTGCTGAACCTGCCCATAGCTAAATGTTACAGTAATATAAACAATAAGTAATTTAGGCTGCACGTGGATCATTGCAGCCAAATCTTCCTTTACAAAGCTAGACAAAGGAACCCTTGATCTCTGCTGCCACTGATCTTCCAGGGGCATCCTTGTATTCCAGACCACCCCCAAGCTATGGACAACATATTTCACAGAGTGTTGCCTTATATCAGGGTATCCAGTGTGGTGTCCTGGATAAAGTGACAGACTTAAGATTAAGGAAATCTGGGACTGAGTGCCCACTCAGACAAGGAATCTCATAGGGGGTGGGTTGGCACTAGTGAAACCGCTCCTTAAATAGCTTTCTTTAGCTGAAAAACCTATAAGGGTTATAACTTGGATGCAACAACGCCACATACCACGCACATTGTGTATAAATATGAGCTTATGTTCTCTCAGCTGGAACAGTGTTTCTACTGAAAAACAGGAGCTACATTTTATCAGGATTCAGCCTCAGTTTGTTCACCAATCCACAATCCTACTTGTGGGTATCCATAAACACTGCTCAGTCACCAAGAAAAAGTGTACACCTGCGTTACTGGACAATGAAAACTTAGCAATGATCAGTCTTGGCTGCCCCTTCAAACACATAAACAATAGTGGTTGAAGTTAACTGGTTGGATATGGGGGTGGGGAGAGAGGCTTCATCTCATTGGTGTTCACTGGACACAAACCAATGCTTTCTGTACCATATTGTGGCCATTGCTGGATCAGCATTGGAATAGCAACTTCTATGCCTACATTATATGTTTTAATTAGGGTGAAGAAGGTGTGAAAGAAGTTCTCCAGATATTGAAGGAAGAGTTCCGGTTAGCAATGGCACTCTCTGGTAAGATGCAGAATTTGATAGAATTATTATTTGCTTGGCCTGTCTTTGCATGTTCTGCAAGGGACAACCCACAAGATGGACACAAGAATTTTGCATAGTGCAATACTACATAAATCCTCACATAATTTTGTGCTTTGCTTCTCTGGCAAAGGTCTTTCCCACCTCCTGCTACTTGATCCTTTCAGTTGGAGACGCCAGAGGTGGAATACAATGGGAGTACTCCCCCACTGGTTATGAATGTTTCCCCTTCACAATCTGTAACAAATCTTTGAGGTACAGTAGTTTGCAGAGAGAGAGAGAGAGAGAGAGAGAGAGAGACTTCCAAACACCATCTTCACAGAGCAGTACAAATAAAATGCTTAAGTAGATGTATCATTCTCCAAAATGCAAATATCATCAGTTTGATGGGACTAATGATAATGGGGCCAGAGACAATTTAAGCCCTTCAAACTATACTACAGTACCAAAGATATGTCTTCTGAAGGTGGTATTTCGTTGGGAAGAAATTCCCCCCTTTTATATACTAACTTCCCTTGAGAAAAAGGAAGAGACGTGGGAGAATCCAGTTATTTCTACTTGGTAACTGAAAGCTAAATGCAGATAATGCCAGAAGGGTATGCCAGTATAACATAAGAGGAGTCCTGCTGGATCAGGCTAAGGGCCCATCAAGTCCAGCTTCCTGGATCTCACAGTTGCCCCACCAGATGTCTCTGGGAGCACACGAGACAACTAAATACCTGTCTCCGGATTATTGGAGTGTCAGTTTTGGATATATAAACTTTGTGAACTAAATTCTAGTTTTCTTTTTTCTTCTTTTTCCAGGTTGTCAGAATGTGAATGCAATAGACAGGACATTGGTCCGGAGAAATCAGTGGTTTGCCTCCAAGATGTAACTGACTTTTTTTTACCTTGGATGAAACTGTAATCTTGGATGTGTAAATTATTTTTCCTTCTCTCACCAAGAAATGGGAATTGCAAAGTGAAATTAAATTTTCAGTGCACATTTCAGCTGGACCAACATGAAATGCCCTTCTGTCTTATTTTTGATACTTAAGGCCATTTTGCAAATGTGTTATCGAACAGATCAGAGTATAATTTTAATATATAAACAGGATTTGAAGATGCTAGAAATATTTTGAAAGGCAAATCAATGTCCTTCTTATTTGTTGTCAGCCATTTTACACGATGAAAAACATTGCTCAAATAAGAACCTAACTTGCTCCCACTTAGAGCGCTCGAAGGCATTAATGGCTGAACCTGCAAGTGTTCTGATGGAATGAGGTGAACTGCAGTTGTGCAAATATTAGCAATGCTGTTTTGAAACTCTTGAGTGGGAACAGCTGAGCTTCTAAAACAACAATAAGCACATGTCTAGGAAGGCGCCTTATATTAAAAGAACTGTTCATGTCTGAAATCCAGAGGATGCCCCTTTGATATTGCTTTAAATATTTAATCATATTCTGGTTTCTAAACTTAACACAGCATCATTTTTCCCTTGGCAGTACGGCAGAGGAAAGCACAGCACATTTATAGTGGTTGGAAAGTGAGCCTGTGAGGAAATGGAGGTGTGCAAAATGCCATTTGAAATTTATGTCCACACAGCTACCCAAACGAGTTACTACAGCCCATGACGTCATCCTTGCATTTCCAATTCTGAACAGCTTTTATTTCTGTCTACCAGTTATAGCAGGGTTGCCCTCTAATAAGCAAGGAGAAGAGAAGAGCAGTTCAACAACATCTGGAGGGCCACACTATTTATGATTGACAGTTGCTAGGCTTAAGTACTGTATTCATAAACCACTGCTGGTTCTCTAAGAACCTCTGCAGAGAGATGGCAGCTGGTGGGCACAGGAACAACAGGCTATGAGAAAGGAGATAAGAGGGAGAGTGGGGGAAGGTGGCCAGTATTTGTGAGGAAGGAGTTGGGGTCACAGAGGGGAGGGCACGTGGGCAGGAGCAGAAATGCTCAGCTTGGACTTCACCCAGGTCACAAGGCAGTTTAAGAGACTCTCACAATAGAAGGCCAGTCTGAATGCCAGCTGATAAGGCGGGCCAAGGATAAAGAAGAACAAAATGTAGAGAGGAGCTACACAGCAAATGTGTGGCAGGAGAAGGTCATGGAGTCTCAGATGTGGAGTAAAAAACAAAACATAGTTGAAATAAGGAATGAAACAAAGAAAACAAAACAGGGACTGAGTTTGAAACGGGGGTGTGATTTGGGAGCAAATAAAGGGAAGAAAAATATGCAAAACAGGCAAACCACCATACTGTTGCTGCTCTTTTGAGATGGGAAGAAGCTGGCTATGATGAGTTGATGCTGATGCTACTTCTCTGATGGTAAAAGACTGGCTGATAGGACTTCAAATAAATTCTTCTTACCTGAAGGAAAAGACTGTTGGCATCCCGTGTTAGTGTTGCTGCACTTCTGAAGAGGAGAGGTCTGCCACTGTGACTTCAAGCTGATGTTTCTGGCCCGAAGGAAAGAGGCTGGCCTTTCATGCTCTTGTTTACTTTCTGAAGAAGACAGCCTGGCCATTGTGGCTTCGTGCTGATTCTGCCTGTTTGACACAGAGAGGGACTGGACATAATAACCTGATGTTGCATGCCTGAAGGAGCAAGACCAGCCAACCTTAGGCTTGTGCACTCTGTTTCAAGAAGAGAACAGGTGGTTAAGCTGCCTTCCCACAGCTGCTGTCAGACTGAAGGGGGAAGCAAACACTCTCCCTCTGTGTCATTATTGTGCCAGCTACTTTCATGAAATACATAGCTTTGGCATCCTACAGCAGGTATGCATTTCTTAGCAGTCCTTCTTAGCCAACCCATCTTCTTAAATACAAGCGTCACATGTCTTTAGGATTAGCCCCATCCATCTTTTTTAGGACACGAGGGTCAGATCTCCACATCCATTTCCATCACTCCTGAATCTACAGTCGCTCCTGTTGTCTGATGCATAGATCTGCCCAGATCCATCCTGAATCTGGAGTAACTGCAGATTCAGGAACAATGAAAAAGATTGTGTAGATCTAATCAAGATGCTTGCTCAGTTCTACTGCAGTGACAGTGGATGTTTGCTCAGCCTTAGGTCAAAAAGAGGGGGAACTGTAGGCCCAGGATATAGAAAATATACTGTTACGCTCTTTATTTCGGTGTAAAATGCCCGACACATTTTGGCCTATCAGCGTTCTACATCCTGGGATTACAGTTCTCCTTTTTGGCCCAAGATTTCTGTGAATGTACCCCTTCCTTTCATTATTTTCTGTTTGTTCATCCTGCCTTTTCCCTGTCAGCCATGTTTCTAACGGGTGGGAGCCACTGAAGGGATATTGAGAGAGCTGGCAACCTTGTAAATAAATAACAAAACAGTGAATACTGTTTGAAGACAAAAAGGCAGCAGGGAGCAGCTTGAGAATTGCAGTTATTCTCACAGAGAGCAGTGGAAATACCAAAATGAAATTAATAAGAAAAACTAAATTGTGAAGTGAAAGAAAAACAGATATTCAGTGATCACCACCCATCCTGTTTTTCTTTCACTTCACTGTGCCTCCAGAAGTTCTTGCCACATCTAGAAATGAGTAGGGTGTCATGTTGCACAACAATGTTTTCCAACCTGGAATCCTCAGATGATTTTTCTAACGCCAAAGGTCCAAAACACCATGGTTAATGGTGACAAATTCCAGGCGATGGTGCCCAGTAACCTCTGAGGAATTATATGTTGGGAGCCACTAATATAATACAATGATGTGAACAAAACATGCTCTGTGTTTATGTGCTGGAAACAAGGAACTGTACAAAGTGCTTTGAGGATGAGACAGAATGATTCCCCCCTCTCCATATGAAGCAAATGTATGCCTTAGTTTTTATTTAGGGGGTCTAGGCTTGTAGAAATGGCTTTCTTTCCCACTTACAATGCTTAAGAGAATGCAAGTGTGAAGAAATTAGGGTGGCCAATTTAGCAGCACTGCATTTCTTGGTATTTCAGTATCAAAACCTGGGACATTGGGATGCTACAGAGGTGGGGCAGGAAAGGGTTGGGACAGGGTTTTCTACAGAGGTGGGGCAGGAAAGGGTTGGGATGGGGTGGGAGAGGGCACTGCTCTTGGGCCAGCTGATCCTGGGAAAAGAAGATCAGGGGGTATCTGAGTATGTGGTGCTAAAATCTAGCAAACCCTGGTTGATTGGATAAAATAGCAATTCACAACCAAGCACAAAGGGAACCTCCCTTCTCTGCTGCCTCCAGCAACTGGAGATTGCCTCAGGCAGGGTTGGGGGCAGTGACATCTTGTCCTTAATCCCTTGGGCAGATAAATGTTTCTGGTCAGCCCTGAGCTTTCTCATGACCTCCTAACTTCCTTCCCACTGAAAGGCTTTCAACATCTTTGAGATGCTCTGGGTTGCAAAATGATGACGAAACATAAAAGGATGCTGAGCTGAGGGTGTGATCTGGAAAAACCGGACATATCCAAATGGTTTGTAAAATTCTGCATGTTATTTACTGGGACTTGTAGAGAGTTGCACAGCAACCAGGCTTCATGTGTACAAAGGCTAAGCAGATGTTTCTCAGTGTGTAATGGACAGCAGTTTCTGTTGTTTACTGTGCTTATCATACTTGTTGCAGTGTAGACTTTGTTGCATGTCAGTTCCAGAAAACTTCAGATGTTGTGTATTTTATACAGTATAAATTCAAAGAATAGAAAATAGTGTCATGCGTTGATGTGCTTACATTCTCATTCCAAAAGTTATCCAAACTTATTTCTACTGCTTAGCTTGTGGAAAGCTGTCTTGTATTCCAGCCAAGAAGTAAGTGACAGAGGTCATGTGTGCCTAATCGACAGTGTGAAAGTTATTGCTAGAATGAGCTTATAAATGTGTTTATCCATTATTTTATAAGTTCTTAGTCAACTGACTTTCTCTGAGGTTGCTGTGTTGAGAAGGGCATCTGTGACTGATATTAAGTTGAAGGTTAATGGAAACTGAAATGTATTTACTAACTGCAACTAGTTAAGCACAGTGATAATTAAGTGATCCAGGTCTATAGAGCCTGTGTCCTGAGCACACTGCTGTACTGCAGCGAGTCCTGGACCCTCTGTGCACGGCAGGAGAGGAATTAGAATTGAATTAGAATTAGAATTATTTATTTACTGGCCAGGTATGTAAACCATACCCGGAATTTAATATGGCTACCGGCCACACTTAAAAACATTACACACACACACACACACACCATAAACAGAAAATTCACAAGACAATTAAGAGCAAATTCTACAAGCTGAACACCTTCCATATGCATTGTCTCCAACGCATTTTTGGTATCACCTGGCAGGACAAAGTTCCAAATAGAGTAGTCCTAGAAGGAGCTGGAATTTTTAGCATGTATACATTACTGAAACAGCGCTGTCTACATTGGCTTCTGCATGTCGTGAGAATGGCTGATGGTTGGATTCCAAAAGATTTCCTGTATGGAGAACTACTGCAAGGAAATCGCCCCAGAGGGAGACCACAGCTGTGATACAAGGGCATCTGCAAGCAGGATCTGAAGGCCTTAGGAATGGACCTCAACAGATGGGAAACCTTGACATCTGAGCGTTCAGCCTGGAGGCAGGCGGTGTATCATGGCCTCTCCCAATTTGAAGAGACACTTGTACAGCAAGCCAAGGCAAAGAGGCAGTCCCGAAAGAAGCAAAACCAGGGAACTGGACAGGGGACAGACTGTATTTGTCTTCAATGTTGAAGAGATTGTCACTCTCGAACTGGCCTCCTCAGCCACACTAGATGCTGTTCCAAGACCTCCATACAGAGCACGTTACCATAGTCTCTCGAGACTGAAGGATGCCTACTGACTGAATTAAGTGAATATTACAAAGCTTTGCAGCAGTTTCTGCCATCATTGTCAGGAGGAATGTTCCAGATGTTTTAGGAGTAGAGCCCTTCTGATTTTTACCCTAGAGAACAGGCACACTAATTCAGTTGTGCGTATGGTAGAAGTCAAAGGAGAGTCAATTTCTCTATTTTGTAAG